ACCCTGTTTGTTCTGCCCCAGGTTCCTGGCTTGACACTGAAGGGTAGGGAGCCGGGCATGGGAGGTGAGGGCAGAAGGAAAGGCCCCGTGTCAGGGGCTGGTGGTCACGGGCAACCTTCTCTGCAGGAGCAGCCTCTCTTCCCAACCCTCCTGACACCGCCTGGGCTGCTGGGTGTCCTCAGTGTCATCAGGGTCCCCAGACACATCCGGTCACACAAAGGCAGGAGAAAGCGGTTCTCCGCAGATGATTTCCAAGACCCTTTGTACTTTCTGTCCAAACAGGGTTCCTTTAGGAACCTGGATGGGAAAGAGTTTTAAAACAAAGTGCTACCAAAAGTCATTATTGTTATTTTATAACCGTCCACCAACCTTCTCTATCACCAGGATTGTAAGGCAGAATCGCACGCTGGCTGAGTGCGCATTTTCCCTAACAGAACACTGGGATGGTGAGAGGGCTCATGAGACCCCCCCAGCCTTTCCTATCTGATGGAAGTTTCCATTCTTCAGGGTTGGTAAGGATACACTGGGTCAGCCGGTCTCCTTGGGAGAGCAGCATTACCCTCCGTGCCTTCTCTTGTGAACCATCTGGAAGGCTGGGAAGCGGCCCCTTCTAGCCTGAGCTCACGTTTTTAAGGAAATTCGAAAATATGCGTGCAGTAGCTCCTGCCCCAGTCTCTCTGGGCCCAGGGGCTTCCTTTCTGCAGTGCTTTTATCCCTGCTGAATGTGTGATCATTAACTTACCAGCCTCTGCATGCTCGCTGTCCCTCCCTTCTCATGCCGAGGCTCCAGGGGCGGACACCTTGTGTCCTTTTTGTCTGTCTACCTCCGTGGCTGTTAGGATGCACAGACCTTACAATGTCTACATTCTCAATACTCTTTATATTTTCAGTTGTTTCACATATGTCAGCAATTTTGATTCTCACGGGAGTCTTTGTTGTTTTGGTTTTTGTTTAATTTTTTTTAATGAAGTATAGTTGATTTACAATGTTTCAGGTATACAGCAAAGTGACTCAGTTATACATACATACATACATACATATATATATATTCTTTTTCAGATTTTTTTCCATTATAGGTTATTACAAGATTTTGAATATAGTTCCCTGAGCTATACAGTAGGTCCTTGTTGTATTTTGTTTTGTTTTATCCTTAGCTCGGCTCAAGAGTGCTAATGGTTTTGCCAAAGAGCTGGTTGATAAGATAGCTAATTTATGTAGTAAATGACTGCGCTCCCTCTGTAGTGATTTTTTTGCTTGCTTTTTTTTCGCTTTCATTTGATCTTGATGTTTTGAATTTTGTGTTTGAGGTCCCTGGAATCAGGAGAATTATTACTGTGCTTACATCTCTGGACAAATGTGTGTAGTTGGCAGGATGCCAGTCTCCATTTCTCCACTAAATGTGCTAGTAGGTTTGGCTATAATTTTGATGAAGCGTAATGAATAGGATGAAGGTGGGGCCATAAGAATCAACGCGGGAATCCTTGAGATGCGTACATCCTGATGTTCGTGGAAGTTCTCCTGGTCTTTGCAACGAGAGGTGCAGGGGACAGTTCATGGATGTACAAAGACCACTGAGCTGGTGATCAGGAGCCAGAGAGGAGGCAAAGTGAATGAAAATGTTCTGATTCTAGGAAGTTTGGAAGATAGTATAATTCACCAAATTAGGGCAGTTTCTTAGTGTAGCCCCAGGTACCAGCGTGCACATCGATCTTTACCATGTAAACCACAGCTGAGTGTGAGCAACGGCTTGATTGAAAGATGAAATCAGTAGCAATGACGGGCAATTATGGGTTCCTTTCCCAAAATTTGATTGATTTATTTTAGACAAGTGGTCAGTTTGTTTAGAAGACAGGCTTTTCAAGGAATCAAAACCAAAGAGAAAATAAAACCCCAACACAAGGTGCCTGGCTGGGTGGGTGAGCTCCCTGGGTAACAACAGCAGTGGGCAAACAGCAAAACCAAAACAGGCTTCGATCATTTACTAACGCGTGGGTTGAAAGACAGATCCCGGAATTTAACTTCTAACCTGGGGCAGGAAAATAAAAATTGCTTTCAACTGTTGGCCTGCATGGAGAGTTTTGAATCTAGGTTACAGGAGACTAGTCTTGTCACCATCCCCCAGCACAGGACTCCCTCCCTCCAGCAGACTCTGCAAAGGTCTCTTCTGAAACAGTCACCAGAACTTAACTACTGCCTGGATTCTGTCATTCCCCCTAAATAACGCCTACACACTGGAAAGTGTTTGACCCTCAGAACGATCTCTTCAAACCTGATCCTTTCTTTGTCAATACCCTTCTGTTACAAAAATGGAAAATGAAGATAAAGGAAAAAAGAAAAAGAAAAAGAAAAAGGTGAGGGTCTAGAGCCACAAGGAGATGAGACTCAGTAAAATTAAAGATGCTCTGGGACATTGTGCTGAACACCAGAGGTTGACACATTGTAATTGACTGTATTTCAAAAAAAAAAAATGCTCAGCACCTTATGAGGGCTGTAGAATCTGCTTTGTACCCCCAGGATCTAAACGGACCGATTCAGAACCAGTTCTGTGGCAACTCTATGCTGCACTTCACATGAAACACGAGCCGAAGTCTTTTCTAATTAAGGATACTCTGTGTGCCCAGGGCTGCACTCAGCATTCTGACAGCACGGGTCTCAGTTCCCACCTGGCTGGATCAGAAATCCTCCTGGATCACTTTACTCGGCGTGGGGAGGCACGCATTTCACACCTGGACACAATATATACAGAAATACTTTGAAAACTGTCCAGTGTCATTCTTACTTCGTGGGGCAGAGCCGCGGCCGTGGCGGGGTCGTGCGGTGCGGCTGAGCCCGGGGTGTTTCCCGGGCTGTCTGGATGGTGGGGTTTGTGTATTGCCCCCTGGGTTGCACTGGGCTCACAGGACATTTTGCAACATTCGTATGACACAGACCTCACGCTGTTCTTCTGTTGGCTGCCAGAGAAGCTGCGGGTGCTGACAGCGAGGACTGGACATCCCTGCGTCCATCCCCTGGCCCCTCCCACCTGCAGCTTCGAAAAGAAGAATGTGACCAGTGAACAGAGTAATCTAAGATGATCTACTTAGCAGGAAGTAGCCAAGGCAGTAAAGACATAATTGCTTTGGGTTTTTTTTTTATCTGAAAGCCAGTGAGTGATGAAAAACTTAATATACAATTCAAAACCATGAATAACTCTAAATAAAAAATAAGAAATATGATGACAGAAAAATACAGTGTGTTTATCTGTTTACTATTTCTTCATTATTTTCCCCCAAACTTCAAGCATAGTTTATCTCTTATGTGGGAAAGGAAGAGATGGACTTGCTTTTCACAAGGTCATTATGAGAAACAGTTACGACACGCATACTTTACCTAGATGCTAATTAGTCTCTTGCATGTCAACCTCTCTGAAAATTCCTGGACGAATAGTGAGTTACTGTGTGTCACAGAAGTAGCCATCCAGCGACTGGGGTCTGGGCTTGTCCCTTCCTTGGCATAGATTTTGAAGAGATATTGGAAGGCTCTAAAAATTCTGTGAGGCCTATGAGGGGCTGACCACATCCCAGTTTCCTTCATCCCTGGGGTCCTGGTCAGAATTGGTCACGTGGTCTGTCCATCTGATGCATTTAAGCAGGCAGTGTTTCTTCCTTCCTCCCATCTACCTGGTTTCCCATCCTCCATTCTTAGCGATAAGCGTCTCCTGGCAACACCGTGAGAGGTGGCACCCCCACTTGGGGTACCAGAGGCTGGGAAAAAGGCAGAAGAGGAAGTAGGAGGACCCCCTCCACCCCGCACAAACCAGGCCCTGTCCGTTTTCCAGTCTGTCTGCAGAGAGCCTGTGCCTTGACCCTGGGCATTCCTTTACAGTTCTTTCCTCTGGCTTTTTCACGTCGAAGAGAGGGAGAAACAACACTAGGGGGCCTCTGTGATGTTGCAGGCCAGGGGTTTGTTCCTGTTCCAGCTCCTGAAGGGAAGGTGCACCTGTCCCCATTTCACAGATGAGCACACCCGGCTGGGGCCTGGCAGGAGCCCCTCCAGGGCCACGTGCGGAGAGTCGGGGCTCTGGATCCTCAGCCAAGGGCAGTGGTCGGGTGGCAGCCGTGCTGGCCCAGGCACACATGAAGTAGGAGGAGGCATTTTCTTCCATTTCTTCACTTCCTAGGAGGCTATTTCTGCCTTCTCTATGTGTTTCATGCCACATGCTGCCTCCTCCAGGCTGTCCTCAGCAATTTTCCTCCTTCTCTGTTCCCTTAGTGCTGGACTGGGGATTTATCGCCTGGTGCCTTGTACTGGAGTAAATCATAAACACATCTGTTCTTTTGTCTTGATTGGAAGCTGTCTGAGATTGGAGATCATGGCGTGTTTACAGCCCTCACTTTTTGGTAGTTGTTCGATACACCTTTCATGTTCATTTGATTGACTCTGAAGGGGCAGACATCTGAAAAATTAAACATGGTCAGCATTCCAGATGAAAGAATTGGAAATGAAAAATATTAAAAAAGTCACAAACTCTTCTGAGTCCTGAAGATGACAGCCGTCATCCAAAAACTGGCCTGTGGTCTGGCCACCTTGACAAGACTCTGCATCTTTTTGAGCCTCAGTTTCCACTTAAATAAAAAAAGGAGGTGAAAATGACTGCCTTTGCCTACTCCTTCAGCTTTTTATCGGGAGGAAATGAGATGTCACATCTGAAAACGGGAATCACGATATTGCTTTAAATGTAAAATTGCATGGTCTTATTTTAAAAAATTTAATTGGAATTTGGACAAAAGCTGTATTGTACAGATACCGTGTTCTTACAGCATTCTACTTGCAGTTTAGGGTTAAATTTGCACCTGAGTGTCCCTTGTGGGTAGTTTTTCGGGGATCATCTGACTTTGACATCATAATCTCTAAAGCTGGGAGGTTCTGAAATGGACCTGATTGGTTCTGTTAGAGTGTTTGTCTTCTCCCCATGATGCCTGCATGACCCAAATTCCGTGCCTTTATTTTTCCCCTAACAGGCTTCCACCTCTACCACAAGCTGCCCACCATAGTGCCGGAGAGCTGCCTTCTCATCATGGTTGGGCTCCTCCTGGGCGGAATCATCTTTGGCGTCGATGAGAAGTCACCCCCGGCCATGAAGACAGATGTTTTCTTCCTGTACCTCCTGCCCCCGATCGTGCTGGACGCGGGCTACTTCATGCCCACCCGGCCGTTCTTCGAGAACATTGGCACCATCTTCTGGTACGCGGTGGTGGGGACGCTGTGGAATTCCATCGGCATCGGGGTGTCTCTGTTCGGGATCTGCCAGATTGAAGCCTTCGGCCTGAGCGACATCACTCTGCTCCAGAACCTGCTGTTCGGGAGCCTGATCTCGGCGGTGGACCCGGTGGCCGTGCTCGCCGTGTTCGAGAACATCCATGTCAACGAGCAGCTCTACATCCTGGTCTTCGGGGAGTCCCTGCTGAATGACGCCGTGACGGTGGTGAGTGAGGCCTCTCGGCCACCACCCAGCCAGCAGAGTGGCCTTTGTGCTGGGAAGGACCCCTCACTGGGTCCAGCGCTGTGTTGTTGCCGTCATAAAACTCTCAGGGAATTTCTAATTTGTTATTTATTCGTGATTCCACAACGGGCCCTCGTCTTCGTTCTGCACCAGGTGGTGCCAGCTGCGTGGCTGGTCCTGCTTGCACGACTCTGCAGCTGCCATCAGTGACCATGACCCGTGTGTCCCTGGGGCAGAGTCTGCAGTGATGGTCCCTGATCAGAACTCAGAGCACCCACGGTCCCAGCATCCTTTGTGAGAAGTGATGCTCTCAGGATGCAACATGTACTGTAGGAGTGCGGTAATGATGCCCGCTGAATGCCCTTCTCCCCATCTGGGGCTGGTGCATTATTTATTTCCTGATGTTAAGCAAATTTTCCATCACCCGCCTCCCTTCTTGTTCCTACTCAAGCAGCATACTTTGGGTCCTCACCATTTTCCCCATAATTAGGTATTTATTCAAGAAGTGCAAGTTATTTTTAATTCTCACATATTGACACATAACTAGAGAGTCAGGGGCTGTTATGAGCTTAACATTAGCAGGGTTTACCTGGATCCTGAGCTCAGGCAAGAAGCTGCTCCCTTCCCCATAGGGGTACATGGAGCTCCTCCACCAGTTAAGGACATTCTGGTGACCGCAACTTAAGTAATTTACATCACCTGACCCCCATTAGTTCCTATCATTAAAATACTATTCCTGATTCGTTTAAAAGTTAACATAGATGCACAAGGTCCTTGGTTCAATCCCCAGTACCTCCATTTAAAAAAATTAATAAATAAATCTAATTACCTCCCCACACCCCTAAAAAAAAGAAAAAAAAAGTTAACACAGAAACCAACATTATTTTCTCTTAGCCCCTGTTCAGGCCCCTGAACTGAATAAAATATCATATTTGAGGATGTCCATGGGGATATTATTACATAAAAAATAATTTACGGATGAGGAAATCCCAGTTTTTAGAATAGCTAAGAGCTGCTTTAAGACAGTGAGGTTACTTCACTCAGATAACAGAATCCACTTCATTTACCCCACTGCGCGTGAACAGCGGTTAGGCGTTAACTCAGCAATATTAAAGTTTAACCAGGAAGCCAGCATCTAACAATAAAAATGTTTTACAACTCTTTCTAATTTTTGAAGGCATCAGGTTTTCCACTGTGACTAATGTTTGATATATACATTGTTTCCTTTGTTGAGGGAGACTGTGGAAATCTTGGGTCAGTTAGGATATAGGAAACTTTACAAAGCAATCGTGCCACCCGCTGCACCCCTCCTTGGGTGGGGTGGCGACGTCAGGTGAGTTTCAGAATGACCTGCCCTGTCTTCACGCTGCTGCTTCCCCGTCTCTTCCAAGATTTCTCTTTCAGTCGCCTCACTGGAGCATCCTGGGAGGGTGTCAAGGATCAGGTCTCAGAGAATGATCTGGCTGAACCACCCTGAACCTTAGCAGAAGCACGTCCTGAGCTTCTTGTCATGAGGCACGGAGCCACCAAATGTGGTTTCCTGGACGAAGAGGCAGGGCTGGCCCAGAGAGGGCAGTGGGCCAAACTGAGGGCCGGCCATCCCAGCGCAGGAAGTGGGGCAAGGATGGGGAAAGGGCACGATGGCTCTGTCACGGAGCCCCTGTGACGAGCCCGAAGCCTGGAAGCCACAACGAGTGTCATGGTGTCAGGTGACAGCTTTGTCAGTAGCTCATTTACCCTGGGCTGAGAGCCAGGACCCTTAAAGCCACCCCCACAGATATCAGGGCATGCTCGGGGTCCGCCTACCCAACACTGAAGAACATACCCCAGGGACTGGCTGAAATGTGGGGCTGAACTGACCCACAATTATTCAGGGTCAGCAATAATTAGAGCAATAGTGTAAAAATTTATAATTTTTTCCCTCCTAGTCAGGTGCCCTCAGAGGACAGAGGTGGGGGTGTTTTGTAGAAGATTCTTTGGTTCATTCATCTCGTCTTATCTCTAGGAGAGGTTGAAGGAGCTCGTGGCTCAGGGGAAGGTGTGCAATACGCGGACCTAGCTGCGCACAGTGGAAAGGATGTGCCGCTCAGTGTTGTCCCTGGAGGGGTGGAGACTAAGCAGAGAGAAGTCAGGTTGGAAGCATAGGATGAGGATGAGTGAGGTGGTGGTCAGTGCTGTTAACTCCCTCCCCAGTCACGGTGAATTCGGTATCGAGCTTAGAAGATCCGAAGGGGCAAAAGCGCACCAGAAACGTGTCTCAAAGCAAAGAAAAATTCATAATCTGTCAGTTGAAGTCAAACTCCGGGTCCTGTTGTCCAGGGCTGTGGTAGGTTGGAATTGACGGGAGAAGTGACAGCCAAAAAAAAGAGGTGAGTTTTTAAAATAGGATTTTTGTTCTTTCTGTTATAAGAAACATCTTAAGAAAACCTTGCTAAATTTCCCTTCTAAGAACAGATGTTCCAATTCTCAGTTACCCGTCCATAGTCCAATGAGTTAGGCTCACACGGTAGTTTCCAACGTCATTTCTAGAACATGTTGATGCAACTGCTGAATATTCCAATGCATTGGCCAAGGACCCTTAGGGAGTGTGCTCAGTCTGTCATCACTGAGCTTGGCTAAGGAGAGCGGGCTGTGTGGTGAGAACACAGGGACGTGCACGAGTGGCCTGGTCATTGTGTGCTGTGCGGTGGCATTTAATTCAGGAAGAGGAAGGATAAGCAGAGACCGCTTGGTACTCAATTTTGCTTTTGCAAGTAGGAGAATAGATTTCAAGTCTCCTATGCAGAAACGATCATTCTTTGTGTTTCGTCTCAGCAAACGTGACGTGAAAACTCTTTTTTTCTCAGCAGAGCTAGTCTGATAAAGACCTCTGTATTGTTTGCATCCTTGCATTGCACGGTTTCACTGCATTATTGCATATATTAAATCAAAGTTCAGAACATATAATATCTAAGTTTCATATACACAACTTTTTAAATAACAACAATGAATAGAAACATTTGAAAGGACTCAGCTGTCACATTAGCCCATTACAGAATTTAGCCAACAGGCACCACCGGCTTTCCAGTTTTCTAAAACTGTGATTGTCAAGTTGAGGTCAACTTTGCACAGAGCAACTGGAGACGAAATTGTAGGGACACACATATACATATACTATATATAAATTATAACCTCAAAAGCACTTTTCTATACAGATTCCCTGGTGATAAAATTAAAGATTTAACTGAAGTGAACCAATTGTGGGGTTATGGCCAGTTGTAACTAAAAGAATTTTATCTTGTGCTGATCACTAGGTGTCAGGTTCAGTGGACCACACGTGGGAGGTTATGGAAAGCTTTCTGGTTGTCATGGTAATGCCTCGACCTAAGATATTTCCTTGGAAGGTGCCCTGGCCTCCAAGGCAGCTGAGTGATCAGCCTGGAGCCTCTGACAGTGTCCTGACAGTAAAGACCAGAGCCTGTGGATCAGCCTCACTCTTTGCAAAGCCCAAAGGGATGTTAAAGACAGAATGTGCCTCTGACAGATTTGATGGGTTGGGTTGCCGGGAAAATGGCTTTGGAAAGAGTATGCTGTCTGTCCAGGTGTTCCTTGGGGATGAGGACCTGGGCGTCGTTTGCAGCCCTGTCAGTGTGCTGGGGGTGGGCGCAGGGAGATGAGACAGAGGGGGAGGACACCTGGGTTCTGTGCACAAGGAATTTCTAATGTTTTAGGGGAAATGAGGTCGGTGTTCAAGAGGCAGCACCAGTCGCACAAGACAGGGTATCACCAAATGCTGAATGGTCTGGGGGGCCTTCTGTGTTGCAGGAGGGCGGAGGGAAGGGCGATTTGCAAGGGGTCGGGGTCCAGGAAGGCTGGAGAGGAACAGCAGCTTCCACGGAGCTGTGGAAGAAGGGGAGGTTCCCCTCTCCAAAACTGAAGGGCGTTGTAAAGCAGCACAAATAAAATAAAATAGAATAAAAAGCACCAGGTGTATTGAGCCTTCTTCCCCAAGTCAGGCAGTCAGAGATTCTACATTTGAGGGTAAGTGAGAAATGGAAACGTAGTGTTTAAAGGAAGCGAGTCTTGGGGCAGCTATAGGGGGCTTGGATGAGGGAGAGATGGGATTGGCTGGAGGGAGGGGAGTAGAAACCGTGGTGTGTGGGGGCGGAATGCAGAGCCCGAGTGGTCGGGGAGGCTGTCTGTGCAGAGATGATGCCTGGGAGACCCATCTCTCTCCCCAGGCAGCGGGTGACCGTCCCTTCTTGGCCACAGCTGTTTGGAGGCGGGGGGTAAATACAGCGCCTCTCCGATCCCCCTCAGGATGCAGTTGTGGCGTGTTGATGCGGTGAAATCTGAAGTGCACGGCAGGTCTGGCTGAAGGTAGGAAGCGATGCTACTTGAAGCCAGTTCTTTTCTGGCAAATGATGATTCTTCAGGCTATTTAGGTCCTCCGGCTAGTGAATTGCTTTTTTCTTCCCGTACTCAAGTCATTTCTTGGTGGTACCTTACCGGAGGCTCTTGAGTGTTATGCCAACATTCAGGAGAAGGGAGAAGCTCACGGCTTTCTAAGTTGTAATCCACTTTTTTTTTTTCAGAACCAACAGATGTTTATTGTCATCTGCTAGGCAACAGAGAAGTCAGTCAGAATAAGGTGTGATCCTTAACTACAAGGAGTTTACCATCAAAAGAGGAAAATATTAGCTGAAACCTGAAGTGTGTAGGTTATAAAGGACCACAAGTGAGGTAGAAAAGAGTGACATGGCTTTTTGCCAGGACAGTTTCTGGTTAGCAGTCTATGACTCATTCTCATTGTTAAACCTTGAAGAGCTGACCCAGAAGGTCAGGACACTTGGATTCTGGTATCGCCTCTGACGTTTTGTGTGCCTGTGGACAGATGGGTTCAGTTTTGAGATTCTCAGAACCCAGGGAGGGTGTAGATGGCCTGTGCTCTGAAGACCCCAGTGTCCCATCGCCTACCTTTCCTGGAGAGCCCCATTGCAAAC